TCACACCCAGGCCTCGCGGCTGCTGTGGGGTCAGAGGTCACCGCGCGAGGGGGGCGGTGCCGCGCGCGCGCGGGGGGGAGGGGGAGGAGGGTTCCAGGCGGTTACCCCGGTAACAGACGTGGCGCCACCGGCGTGGCGGCGGATTGGCCGGCGCGCGTCACGTGCCCGATTCCGGGCCGGGGGGCCGGCGGAAGCGGGAGCCGGTCTGACGGGGCGGAGCCGCCGGAGCCGGAGCCACAGGTGGGCGCGGGGGGGGAGGGGCGCGGGCCAGCGGCGGGTAAACTGAGGCACGGGGGGGGCGGCAGGGCCGGGAGTGGACCCAGGCGTCCGGGCGCAGGCGCTGAGCCTCTGGCGGTTCCAAGTCCTCATTCGGTTCATTCTCCACTACCTCTATTTCCAGCCCTGGCACACAGGGGATCTCGCCTGCGCACAGAGGCATACAGGTGATGTGACGCGGCCGGGCAGCCCAGAGAGTCCAGCAGGAAAAGGGACTTAACGCTGAGCCCGAAGGAACCTCTGCGCTGGGGCCTTGCCTGGGAAAAAGTACCATTTAGTCTTCCTGTTATTGCCCTGTACTGCAGGAAATCTCCTCTCCCGAGGTACATTGTGCCACGGATTCCCCTCTCGCTGTTTCACTGAGACGCTATCACACGCCGCGCTGAGATCCAGACAGACTCCTCTCGGTCACTGGGGTGGCTGGGATGGGAATCCGGCACTGAGAGGCAGGCAGAAGGCTCCCAGGGAGCCTGGAACTGAGTGCGAGGCCCGTCTGCCTTTGGGATGAGTTTCATCTTCCCTCCTGTTGGAAGCCCCCGCAGAAGCCGTGATTGGACCGTGTGCCCCGTTATCTGTCGAGGTGACTGGCTGAGGATGCAGGCTGGTAGCCGCTTGGAGAAGACGGATCCAGCCCAGACTTAAGAACAGTAACTGCTGAGTTCCACTGATTAGGGACCGTCCCTTTTCTCCGTGATTTGTCGATGAACTCCAACAACCCGGCTTTAGCCTTCTTCCCAAAGTGCTTCTCCATAGAACCGTAGGGGAGGTCCAGCCCACGGGATTCTTGGTTTGAGCTTCTCTATTGCATCTTCTAGCTCGTGTATGAAAGATCTCACTAAAGCCGGGTACTCGGTGAAATGCGTGTGCACGTTTTTAAATTCTCTTTATCTTTCCTCCTGGGTAGTCCATCTTGCATGATTTGCAGCGGCTCCATCCTCATCTTTGGGAGCCTGCTAGTCTTGGTACAATATTCACAGACTGGGTCACCTTTTGCCTCTGTACCTCCATTTGTCTGGATGTTGGTGTTCTTAAGGGCATGGCTACACTTGCAGCTGTGGAGCGCTGAGAGTTAAACCCGCCTTCGTAGAGCGCAGTAGGGAAAGTGCTGCAGTCTGTCCACACTGACAGCTGACAGCGCACTGGCGTGGCCACATTTGCGGCACTTGCAGTGGCATTGGGAGCGGTGCATTATGGGCAGCTATCCCAGCATGCAAGTGACTGCAACATGCTTTTCATATGGGGGGGTGGGGTGAAGTGTGACGAGGGAGAGAGAGTGGGTTTTGGGGGGCTGAGAGCATGTCAGCATACTGTCTTGTAAGTTCAGACGGCAGCAGACCCCCCCCCCCCCCCCCCGCCTCTCTCTCTCTCTCTCTCTCTCTCTCTCACACAGCATTCCACAGTAACGGCATTGCCGGCTGTCAGAAACGGAGCTGGTGGCATCCCCATCCTGGGTCTCAGGTTATGACGTGCAGACCTCTGAGCCGCCTCCCCTGCTCTGAGGGCCTCAGCGAAAGTCACACACCCAATTCCCACCGCCTAGGCATTGGTGCAGTACACAGGGAAACTGAGGCACACACCGTATTAGGATAGGACAGTAAGACTCACATACAACATAACAAGGGGGAAAACCCCACTTCATCACAGCTCCAGCTGCATCAGTTCTGTTCCCGCAAACGGCGCGTCCGGCGTTGACACCTCCCCAGGTGATTGTCTGGCTGCAGTTCCCCAATGATTCGTTTTACCAGTTGGGCTGTCGTCCGGGTGACACGTTCACCTCCCGGACTCCCGCATCTCTTGTACAGAGCGTCTCCCGAATAACAAACCTCAGGCCTCCCCCAGCTCGTCCCGGGCAGTCGTCTCTCAAGCAGCTAGACCCACCAGAGCTACGGTGTGTTTCTTGAAGAGCAGCAACGTGGGTGTTTCTCCCCCGGCAGAACGTTCCTGGATACGGTTCCGGGGACCGGCTGAATTCCAAGGCACAATGGTAAAGGTGGCAGGAGAGTGTTTATTGACATCTCCCCGGAGGCCACAAGAGGTGACGGGTCAGTTTCTCTGTACGCGGTATCCCCATGTTTCCAAACTCTCTTCTGCAGCTTCTGGGGGGGTAGATCGGGGTGTTCTCTCCATTGCCTGCCGCGCGGCATGGGGCATTCCACACTGTGTCTACGCTGGCATGGGCCAGTCCAAGCGACCCAGGTCCTTCGTCATCAGCCAGCAGGAAACGAGGTGTCGTCTTCGCGGCTTCTTGCAACATTGTCTCCCTGCACATGTCGTCTTGTGCCATCCCCGCTGGTGTAAGACACGTTGGGCAACAGCGTTTGTGTAAGACTCTTACTGCTGGTGGCTTCTCTTCAGTCAGCGAGTGACTTCCACAGGCCCCTCTGCGCTAGGCTCCTCTGGCCAGCCGGGCCCACCCCCGTGTGCCATCCGTCCGTCAGCGCGCTCCGCTGGCAGCAGGAGCCATTGGTTAGTCCCATCCCACTCTTGCAGGGCTCTGTCCTCCTTTGGCAGCTCGTCACGCTGACGTCGAGTCGTTCGACTCGTTCGCTTGCTCCGACGCCGGCCAGAGATAAGTGAATGAGATCGCACGGTGACGGGAGCGGCACGCAGCGCCTGTCCCGGTGACGGATTACGCCCTGCACCCCCGCAAGAAGGTGGGTAGGAGAGTTGTGTGTGCAGGCACCGGGTGCATGGTTACTGGAGCGGCTTGTCTAAGCGATGGCGCCTTGGCTGGCGGTTACTTAGCTCTGTTGCCTGAGCGTTCTCTTTAGTGAAAAGACAAGCCCTGTGCGCCGTGCAAGACGCGTCCGATATATTCTTGCCACTCGGTCGGCCTGGGCTGAACTATCGGCCGTGTCCCTCCAGTTCCAGCTGCTCCGGCAACACAACGGCCTCGGGCCGAAGGGGCCCGTGGCAGAGCGTTCGGAGCCTGACGTTCCCATGTAGCTTCTTAAATCTTCATCGACGCCTCTGTTGGGTTTCTTTTATCGGGCCTAAAATTCTTCCTTCTGGGGCTGCGTGGGGTATACAGCCACGTCTGACAGGTGTCTCTGACCCTCGAGGTGTTGTGGTGCTGTGTGGGGTGGTACAGCCACGTCTGACGAGTGTCTCTGACCCTGGAGGTGTTGTGGTGCTGTGTGGGTGGGTACAACCGGGTGTCTCGTGTCCCTCGTGGTGGTGTGGGGCTGTGTGGGGCGGTACAGCCACGTCTGATGAGTGTCTCTGACCCTGGAGGTGGTGTGGTGCTGTGTGGGTGGGTACAACCGGGTGTCTCGTGTCCCTCGTGGTGTTGTGGGGCTGTGTGGGGCGGTACAGCCACGTCTGACGAGTGTCTCTGACCCTGGAGGTGCTGTGTGGGTGGGTACAGCTGGCTCTGCTGGGTGTCTCTGACCTCGAGGTGTTGTGGTGCTGGGGAAGGGAGCGTATCATGCTGGGGAATGTGGGGGGGGCAGATGGGGCATGGGGCGTGGCACGCCGGGTGTTGCCATGGGGGGAGTGGGGCACGCCACAGTGGGTAAGCTTGGGGGGAGGTGTGGGGCATGGGCCTTTCTTTATTATGGTGGGGGGAGGGGTTTCTAGCTCTCCCTGGTCGGTGCACTGGGGGGGGTGACCCCTTCCTGCCTCCTTTGGGGCGCCAGGTCCCTTTGTTGCCCCATGATCTATGCTCCGTGGCCGGAAACAGGCACGCTGGGCATAGACGCACCTGGCCGTGTGACGTTTCTCTGCCCCCCAAGTCTGGGATCCTGGGGGCGCAGGACAGGGACTCCCGCCCCTGGGCAGGACTCACCCAAGGTCCCCTCCCCCACGGAGCTGTGGGGTGGGGGCTGCCCCTCGGGCGGGCAGGTGGTACAATGAGCGCTATGTGCACCAAGCTGCCCTGGCACCGACAGCTCCCGGCTCCCTGCGCGGGCCTCTGTCCCTGGGAGTCACAAGGCCAGCAGCTGCTCACGGTGCCCCCCCGCCCCCCTGCTGACAGCCTTGGGGGGCACAGCAGCCGTCAACAGCACACCGGGGGGGGCAGCGCCTGGGGAGCTGGGGGGGGCAGTTGTCCCCTGGGGGGGCAGCGAATGGGGGGATGGGAGGCCGGCCAGCCATGGGGATGTGAGCTTCTGCCCCAGGCCTGTGGGTATCTCAGCTCTGGGGCGGGGGGGGGGGGGGGGGGGGGGGGGGGGCGGGGGGGGGGGGGGGGGGGGGGGGGGGGGGGGTCTAGCAGCGTATGGCTGCTTGTGGGCAGGCGCCAATTACTGGAACCACCTAGGATAGGAACCCCTCCCCCTCTGACACCCCTTTCCTGGGGGGATAGACACTAGAGAGAGAGACCCCAGCCCCTTAGTACCCCCTGTCCAGCCCCCCGGCGTCCTCTGCCCCTGCCCCTGTGCTCCCCAGCCCTTCCGGACCCCGCGCCCCCCCAGCACCCCCTGCCCCAGTCCCCCCTGCCCCAGTCCAGCTGTTTGTGCACATTCCTGCCCCGTCCCCAGAGCTTTCGCAGCTGCCAAGCAGGGCCAGCCCCCCATCTCATTAACCCCATCAGCTCTGGCATCAGAGGGGCCCCCCTCCCCCGCAGGATAACACCCCCCGTGTCCGGGCAGGATGGGCCCGGGGGGCTGACCCACGGGGGGCTGATCCGGGGCTGGCTGGCCTGGCTGTGGGGCTCTCTCTGGAGGTCAGTGCCCTGCAGTGCCCCTGGCTGTTGTTTGCTCCAAGCCGGGCCCCAGGGACCCATGGGTGAGGCCCTGTTTGGCAGGAGCCCCAGTCCCTGCTGGAGGAGGGGGTTCTGGGGAGCGGCGCGAACGGAGGCTCCCAGCTGTGGGGACGCCGGGTCTGGGTGAAAGGGCCCTGAGGTGTAGGGTGAGATGGGGGCCTGGCTGTGAGCCTGCCCTGGGTGGGGAGCGGGTGGGAGCAGCTCCCCTGCTCTAACCACTAGCCCCCACTCCCCTCCCAGAGCTGGGGTGAGATCGCAGGAGTCCTGGCTCCCAGCCCCCTGGTCTAACACACCAGCCCCCTCCCCTCCCAGAGCCGGGGAGAGAACCCAGGAGTCCTGGCTCCCAGCCCCCCCTGCTCTAACCACCAGCCCCCACTCCCAGTGCCTCTCGCCCCCTCCCTTCCATGGGCTCAACCCCTCCCCGGGGGTGGAGCCGGCTCCCAGCTGGGCTATAAAGAGCTGCAGGGAACTGGCTCTGCCACGGCCAGGGGAGCCCAGGGGAGCCGGCACCAGCTGAGGGTGAGGGGGGGCTGGGGTCCTGGCTGGGGGGTGAGTACAGGGCTGGGGCCCCGGCTGGGGCACTGGGGGGATGAGCACAGGGGGTTGAGGGTGAGTGAGGATGTGTGTGGGGGGCTGGGGTCCCGGCTGGGGGGATGAGCAGAGGGGGTTGAGGATGAGTGGGTGTGTGTGTGTGTGGGGGGGTGAGTACGGGGCTGGGGCCCCGGCTGGGGCACTGGGAGGACGAGGGTAAGTGGGTGTGGGGGGTCTGGCTGGAGGGTGAGTACGGGGCTGGGGCCCCGGCTGGGGCACTGGGAGGACGAGGGTAAGTGGGTGTGGGGGGTCTGGCTGGAGGGTGAGTACGGGGCTAGGGCCCCGGCTGGGGCACTGGGAGGA